CTGCTACTACTGCTACTACTGAAACCACTGAAACTACTGCTATTACTGCTACTACTGCTACTAACAACTGTTGCTATTACTATTACTGTTGCTATCACCACCACTACTGTTGTATATTATATTGCTACCTCTATTACTAGCTTCTCTGCCCGTTTCTGTTCGGCAAAGCCCGGTCGGGACCCATACCTGCTGGGGAACCGCTTGCAAGAGGCTACTATTTTTCTTACTCCTAGTCTTACTAGAACTAGTATTACTTCTTTACTATTATTACTAATTCTACTTATATTGCTGCTACTGCTACTGCTACTGCTACTGCTACTGCTACTACTGCTACTACTACTACTACAACTACTACTACTACTACTACTACTACTACAACTTTTTTCTACTTTTTGCCAAAACAACTCCGAAAATGATTTTCGCGCAGTGAAAATCAAGTTAAGGAAAGCATCTAACAGTATTCGTCCTAGTACGGCTAGACTACTACTGCTGCTACTATTACTATTACTGTTGCTATCACCACCCCTACTGTTGTATATTATCTACCTCTATTACTAGCCTCTCTGCCCGTTCCTGTTCGGCAAAGCCCGGTCGGGACCCATACCTGCTGGGGAACCGCTTACGAGAGGCTACTATTTTTCTTACTCGTAGTCTTACTAGAACTAGTATTACTTCTTTACTGCTATTAGTACTAATTCTACTTATCTTGCTGCTACTGCTACTGCTACTGCTACTGCTACTACTACTACTACAACTATTTTCCACTTTTTGCCAACACAACTCCGAAAATGATTTTCGCGCAGTGAAAATCAAGTTAAGGAAAACATCTCATAGTATTTGTCCTAGTACGGCTAGACTACTACTGCTACTACTATTACTATTACTGTTGCTATCACCACCCCTACTGTTGTATATGATATTGCTACCTCTATTACTAGCCTCTCTGCCCGGTCCTGTCCGGCGAAGCCCGGTCGGGACCCATACCTGCTGGGGAACCGCTTACGAGAGGCTACTATTTTTCTTACTCGTAGTCTTACTAGAACTAGTATTACTTCTTTACGACTATTATTACTAATTCTACTTATATTGCTGCTACTGCTACTGCTACTGCTACTGCTACTACTGCTACTGCTACTACTACTGCTACTGCTACTACCACCACTACTACTACTACTACTACTAGTACTAGTACTAGTACTAGTACTAGCTACTACTACTACTACTACAAACTTTTTCCACTTTTTGCCAACACAACTCCGAAAATGATTTTCGCGCAGTGAAAATCAAGTTAAGGAAAACGTCTCATAGTATTCGTCCTAGTACGGCTAGACTACTACTGCTGCGACTATTACTCTTCCTGTTGCTATCACCACCCCTACTGATGTATATTATATTACTACCTCTATTACTAGCCTCTCTGCCCGGTCCTGTCCGGCAAAGCCCGGTCGGGACCCATACCTGCTGGGGAACCGCTTACGAGAGGCTACTATTTTTCTTACTCGTAGTCTTACTAGAACTAGTATTACTTCTTTACGACTATTATTACTAATTCTACTTATATTGCTGCTACTGCTACTGCTACTGCTACTGCTACTACTACTACTACTGCTCCTGCTGCTACTACTACTACTACTGCTACTACAACTTTTTTTCCACTTTTTGCCAAAACAACTCCGAAACTGATTTTCGCACAATGAAAATGATGTTTGGCTAATGTTTGGGTTTTGCAGGCACTGCCTCAATTTCGATGCCTGAAAACGACTTTCGCCATATGAAAATGGCATGTGGCTGCTGATTGAACCTCTGCCGGCCACGACTGGATTTCGACAGCTGAAAGTGATTTTCGCAAAATGAAAATGCCGTTGGCAATGGATCTGTCAATTTCACTGTACACTGGTTAGATGTACGAATTCTAATAGTTGATGATGATAATCATTATCCCCAATCCAAGAAACAGCATAAGCACTATAGTCATCAAAAAACCGTGGTTTTGGACACTGCTTACTTAGATGCTGCAAACACTCGGCCCCACCACCAGTTTCAAACATTCAAAAACCAAATCCCTCTGCTGCAACATAACATTACTATTTGCTATTCATCCACACCCATTCTGTCAAAGACCTCTCGTCCTGCAACACTACACAACACGAACCGAACCGAACCGAACCGCCATGTCACACGAACCGAACCGAACCGAACTGCCATGTCACGCGAACCGAAACGAACCGGCCTGCTGATGAACCGAACCGCCCCTATTTGAGGTTTCCACGAACCGAAACGAACCTAAACGAACCGAAGCCTTCCTGATCTCTGCACGCTAAAGCTGATCTGTGCCTTGAATTTCAAGTATGCGGGTGTCATTGTTGAATCGAAACGCGCTCCTCGTCACCCTGGCGCCGTTAGAAGGGAATGAAGACTTTGACGCCCTGAGCTCAGCAGCAAACATACTGTATGTCGCCGCGGTTGCTGGTCTTTCTGCCAGCAAGAGAAGAAAGCTTCCACCCCACACTGGGAAGGAGGAAGGCTTCAGCCGGCGCCGGGAGGAGAGCCGGCGCCCGCTCCCGGCGCCGGGAAAAAGAGAATCCTCCCAACCTGGCGCCGGGAAGGAGGAATCATTTCACCGGGAAAAGAAGAATCTTTCAAAAGAAGAAATCGTCACATGCTGATGGCAAGAAATAAAGCCTTTCTCCCAGCACCTAGAAAGATCAAACGTAAAAACCTTTTCAGGGCCTCACATACGGACAACCACGTGATCAATGAACATAGTATACATTTGTATACTGCTGAGCTTGCCGCGCTGTCTTCTGTGTCCACTTCTGTCGGGAACAATGTCTAAAACTAGCTGGTTCATAGCCAGCTCGAAGACACCCGCGGACGACGATGGCCTCATGACCCCCAAACGTTGTGTCCACCATCATTTACCTTGCACCGTCCGAGGCCTCTTCTCATTCTACACATTCCAAAAGAGTTGAAACTAAGCAGAAAAGTGAGCCTAAGGGAAGCAAGATGTGTTTTTCCCGCCCTAATTATAAAGGGGCATCTGCCATGACCACGGGACAAGTACTTTCGCACATAACGGCTATTTCTTGTTTTGTATCAGTGCTCGGGTGGAAAAAGTGTGTTTCACCACCCATAGCCCTGCTACGCTGGAAGCCCTGCTGATTTGGTTCTCTGAATTTCTTCACCTGGCCAGCCTTTCTTGTCTCCCAACTGGCGGCGGCCCGACCTCGAAGCGGTTGATGGTGGGATTCACATGGCAGTGTTGCCAATAGACCGGTAACTCCGCGTGCAGCTCCATCAGACCGAAGCGGAAGCTTTCGAGGGCTTCGGCCTGACTGCTATATGTATGACTGCGGTATAGAGATCAGAACTGGGGTGAATGTGTATATATATAGTATGTATACTATTTAACACATATATAATATACATCTATAGACTCTATACACACATTATACATATCATTTACATGTACATACATGTCCTGTATAATATATATATATATACACACAAATATACCTGGCAAGAAGATGATGCCATCATCTAAAATGGTGGCACCCACATCAGCCCCTACTGGGCCCTACTGTTTAAGGTCCTGAGATTCTTGGATCAAATGATATCAAATGCACAGCATCTGCACACGTTCACAGAAGCTTCAACACCACAAGGCCCACCCTTGGCTGTCGAGAGTAGAGGATCACATACTCTGGATACACCTGCAGCTGGACATGTGTCACTGCCTTTTGCGCCATAAGACTCTGACTGTTTTGGAGAAGCCTGCAGACTTTAAGAGCCATCAAGTTATGTGGGGGATCCACTATAACCATGAATAAACCATCCTTAAAATCTGTGGTTTACTGTTGGATTCCACATCCAAAAACATCCCCATCCCATCCTGTTCGCCTGTTCCGTGTCGTAGACCACAAATTCTCTGAAGGTGTTGGCCTTTTTAGTCCTCCAACGGTCCCAATGTGACCCACGGTCCCAACGCGACAGTGACTTTGACATTGCACAGAAAGTGAAAACCCATGGGATTCTTCGGGTTTGGTAAAAGTTGAGAGCTTGGAACTTGGAGATTGTAACTAAATGATACTAACTGGAATTTGGATGAATTTGGTAAATGCTGCCCCTGGTTATCACATCTGAGATCACGACACCGCAAGGACCCCCTCCTGTCGCCAACTGTGCTATCAAACTCTCCAGACTTCACTTTCTCACCTACAAAGGAAGCATCGCCAACGTTGGACAACGTTGGACGGTGGCAAATGGGTTGCCTCCAAGAAAAATTGTGGTTACAATGAGTTGCAACTGCTCCCCCAATTTGCAAAACAATGTGGGAGGGATTGGGAGTACCTCAGTTTTTATAAAAGCCAGATTCGGACCCAAGAGTTTCTGACTTCGTAACATGTTTTGCCACCACCGGCCATCAAAAGTGCTCTGTAGAGTGTGTCGCCTGCTTGATCATTTCTCTCAGTGGTGTAAAAGTACTTCCCCATCGAAACCTGGGTGCAGCAAGGCAAAATGAACACTGGATGAACCATGCATCAGACCCAGAAGCACACACTTACCCAATGTCCAGCCCAGAAGCACGGCATAGAAGAAGAGCAAAAACACCTTCGTAGTAGCCTTTGATGCACCGTTCTGACAGGCGGAAGATTGAAAGTCAAAGGGTAATCGTGAAAGTGCACCATTTATTCCATAAAGCCACCGCTGTTGTGTCACCATCTGCCGCTGGTATTTCCAGATGCCGTCCTTTCCCTAGCTTCTGCTATACCAACAGGGTTTCCATCATTTTGACTTACTGCCAACATCCATGAAAGATTGCTTCCACAAGCTCCTTAAAAAAGAAGGTAGGATCACAAGTTCAAGTCATTTCCATGAGTATTGTGGCAGCCTAGTGGCACCCGTAGAACCACAATGAACCACAGATGTTGGTCAGTTGGTATTCACCGAGCATCCGTGAGGTTCATCCTTGGCATATTCGTCTGCCTTCGTGCCTGGGAGGTTTGGGACATCCACTGAGACTGGCTGAGGAACTGATGATTTATCGAGGATTTCATCAACAAAAAACGGTGAATTTGAGGAAAAAACATGGGGACATCAACAATATGGTGTTTGATGATATTTGGGTGGGGCTTAAACATTTGGATAGACTCAGAAATACCCAGTCATTGGGGATGCAATAATGACGATTTGTTCACCGAACATACGATATGTGGGGGGTGCCTGTGAATTGTGTTTGTGTATAGTATAATATAATATAATATAATATAATAAAAACAATATAATATATAATATATAATATATCATATATCATATATCATTTATAATATAAAACATAATAATATATAATATATAATATATAATATATATATATTATATAATATATTATATATAATATATTATATATAATATATAATATATAATATATTATATATTATATATAATAT